TTGCCAGAAATTACAGCAGTACCATTGTCACTTTAGGGATTTTGTGCAGCCTCCTTGACCAGTTTTCATCCATTTTAGAGAGCCTCTCTTTCTGTTGTCACACATTGGACACAACCAGTACTTGCCAGAAGTTTCAAAAGCTTCTTCTTCTCTTTAGTAACCTCAGTGACCTGTTTCCATGAAGAACATGGGTGATTGTTGTCCAGTGTGGGAAATGGCTGGTATTGGCAGAAATTCCCACAGTTCCTTTGTCACCCAAAGCCTCTTTAAGTGCGGTCATTGATCAGTTTTCTTCCCATCTTTTCATCTATCTTAGAGGGGACTGTCTTCACTGTGTTTTATGAATAAAATGGGAGATTGTTGTCCCATGTAGGATCGAGCCAGTACTTGCCCGAAGTTGCCACAACCTATTTAATGTCAGCCTCATTTTGTAGCCTCTCTGACCAGCTTTCATCCATAAGGGAGGAACTTTCTTCACTGTATTCCAAGAAGAACATGGGAGATTGTTGTCCCCTGTAGGACAAAGTCAGTAGTTGACATCACATTGGTCGCTCTTTGAATGGTTTTCCTCTCGTCTTTTCATCCTTTATGGAGGAAGTGTCTTCAGCGTGTTTTCTGAAGAATATGGGAGATTGTTGTCCCATGTAGGGCAGTCTAGTACTGCGGAAACGAGACTTTACTGGCAACCGTTCTTCATGTTTTCCTCCAGCCGGCGAATGACATTCACCGACACACACATCATGTGACAGGCATCAATCATGTGCCGTATACATTCGCAGGAAACTTCCATGAGTTTTTGGGAACACACGCCGGGACGAGCGCATTGACAGGTAGTACATCTTACGATCCAAATCGCAACAGCTCATCGTTTTTTCCGCCCTTTTATTTTTTTCTTCTTTTTACTCTGCTCTTTGCATCCGCGAAGCATGTCGCCACCTGCATGACCTGGACCACAAACTCTCGATTTGATTTTCAATGCATCGCAATTTCAGGTTTTTCCATTCGGCCAACATGGTGATCGGACGCTTCTTCAAAGCTTGGGTTGTAATGCAAAAAAAAAAAATCACACTTCGGTACATACAGAATGACCCTCAGTGATCGATAGATATTCCAGACGTTCAATAAAATTCAATTTTAGTATTTAATGAAATGTATCATGCTTCGATCTGTTTATTTTTAATTTAATTTAATTTTATTTTTTGCTGCAACGTCAACTTTTCAGTGACATGTTTGAGCTTTTGTCATGAGTCACATTATTACAAACAATAAAAGGTTACTAAATGCCGATAGATACTGCGAGATGGTTGAGAAAACACAACTTCAGTTGATATTAAGCCCCTCACCTCAGTTCAACGTAGTTACTTATCTACAGGATGACAAAAGATTGCCCCTAAATTATAACTTTAGTTCCAGAATTAACCACACGTCAGTATCTCCCCCCCCAAACACAGACAGGCTAAGTTTGGATAAAGTTTTAAAACTGAAAGCAGTTTTCAAGTTTTTTTGTCAATGAATTAATTTTTGGCCCGTCCTTGACTTAGACGGCTAATTTCCCCCAATTAGCCTGTTCAATAAAGGGTTTCACTGTATGTACCGTACCAAATAAAATAGGAATACAGGTTCCCTTATACTCCTCTCCTAAACTCAATTGTGCAGCACTCACAGAATGTTCTTGTAAACCATTCGAGTCGTTACGTTTGCTTGTAGCCCGTTTGATCTCGGATCAATCCATCCTGACCGCGAAAGGGCTCCAAATACTCCGGATTATTTGCAGGAATCGTCGTCGTCCTGCCGCTGTTTTCTGCTTTGTACACATCTGCGTTTTCGCTCCGCAGGGTCCGTGACCGACAGACCTCCTGGGCCGGCAAACTCCGGGCGAAAAGGTGAGCTGCACTCGAAATGTTTCATTTGGTTATCTGCAGATGTGGTCAAATGACCAAAATGAAGTGATAGCCTTTTTCTTAATGCGTCAGTTCGCTGGTCTGAGATATGCTCTGGAAGCAGTGCATGAGTGTGTTGACACCTTATTTGATTTAAGGGCCTTATATTTTTCTTTTAAAAAAATCGAGAGTGTATAAAGTAAATCCAGTGCAGGTTGTCTGTGCTTTGCTTTTAACTCAATTGCTTCCAAAAGGAATGTTCCAGATGCTCCAAAGCTGCACGTGGGTGAGTATTTTCCGGGGGGCGTTCAAGGTTACGTAAGACGAACCCTATCACATTCATTTCATGACCTTGATTTTTGTTGTTTTTTTTTTTTTTTTTTCAAGCTCAAATTCCAATGAATCTCTCAAATCTAACCTGCCTAAAATATGTTTTCCACAAATAAAGCCATGTTTTTTTTTAAGTTACACCTGTTTTATTTTGTGGTCATTTCTGCCTGCTGTTATCGTTTACACAAACCCTCTGAGAGATCTTTAATTTTGCTGATTGAAGATTTTCGAGTAAATTTTGGATTTTTTTTTTTTTTTTTTCAAGCTCAAATTCCAATGAATCTCTCAAATCTAACCTGCCTAAAATATGTTTTCCACAAATAAAGCCATGTTTTTTTTTAAGTTACACCTGTTTTATTTTGTGGTCATTTCTGCCTGCTGTTATCGTTTACACAAACCCTCTGAGAGATCTTTAATTTTGCTGATTGAAGATTTTCGAGTAAATTTTGGATCAACGACAATCCCGAAGCCATAAAATATTGCCATCTATAACGGGGCAGAATGTCATATTGATGCCTACCCTCTTACTGTATCGTGACACTATTGGTCCCTGCATAACATAAGTGTTAGCAATAGTACAAATAAAATTATGGTATGTTAAGTGAAAAAAGGTTTAAAAAAAAACAGACCAATATTGATTCGTGTTTGTGTTAAAATATTTATAGAGGAAATCACATCCCTCCCATCCGTATTATTGTGATGACGTCGGTAGTTGTGCAAGTGTAGAACAGCCTTTTACCGCTCACTCATTCAATCCATTTGCACATTCAACGTTTCATCCCGTTTCAACTTGCTCACCACCAAACGCAAAACCAGACTCTCCCATATAACAAACCAGGCCACCCAAATATGTGGTTGACTTCACACACCCTTGTCTGAACTGGACATCCGCTTCGGGATCAGGAAAGCCACTCTGAGGATCCCTTCCATCCCCTTCGCCAGTCATTCCAACTACTGACATCAGCCAGAAGGTACAAATTCCCACTGGCCCGGAAAAACACCTACAAAAAAATCTTTCATTCCATCTGCTTGAACCATCATGAACAATTTGAACGGATACATTGCACGTTTCAACGCACACTTTTTAACACGCACTAGTAATGTATTTAAAAAAAAAATCATGCATTTATTCCTTCATTTTTATTGTGTAAAATCTTTCTTGATGGGAATGTGTGAATGTGTTTGTGTGCCCTGTCAACGAAGAATTTCTGTCACTATCGGGAACAGACAGCGTTCGATCAATCTAGCTATCTTATCTAGCTAGCTAACTATCTCTCTAGCTAGCTAACTAGCTAGCCCTCTGTCTATCTAGCTATCTTTTTGAATCCGCGCACCTTCTTCAGCATCCCAACACCGATAGCACACCCCTACCACCTGGCTTGTAAAAAAGGACAAAAATATAAAAAGAAAAATAAGCCACTGCCAAACTAAAACCAAGAAAGAGTTAAGTTTACTGGAAATGATGATGGCGCAACCCCCTCTCCTTGGCCCACCATTGTAATTTTTGAGTTGGAAGTAAAAAATGTTTCGAGAAACATTTCACATTTTGTTGAAGAGGGGAAAAAAATAACAATTGAAAAAAAACCACAATGTTAAAATGATTCCACCAGACCGCTATGACACAAGTGTCATAGCGGTCTGGTGTGTGTGTGTGTGTGTGTGTGTGTGTTTCTTGGTCTTAAAAAACAAGTGTGTTAATGTGAGGCTGTTTGATGTCAGCGTGAGAGCTATTTCATTCTGCGTGTGAGTGTGAAGGACATTTCGAACAAGCGGGTGGCCGTGCTTTGTTCTTCTGTTCTCCTTGTGCGTGTGTGCTTTTGTGTGTGCGCGCGAGCGTGCAACGTTTTTGTGTCCACCTTGGCCGGGGCATGTGCAAATCCCAACCATTCAACACTTGTGGAGAGTAGATTGTATTAACCTCAATAATGGTAGTCTCTTTCCGTTTCTTTCTCACCCTCAATCCAGACGACGGCTCCAAGCCTACGGCCACCGTGGAGACCCTCGTCCCCGCCGAAGGCGACGGTAAGGGTCCTCAAGTTTTGCAATTTCGACACGTTATCACCCCGGGGGTCTCACGTTGAAAAGAAATATAGGCAGGTGTTAGGCACACTGGCAGAGAACCAAAACCCTGTTGGCAACTAAAGTGAGGACAATACTGCACAATCTTGACTTAATTATTTATTTTATGTGATGTATTTATTGAATCAGTGAACTGACAGAACAGAAACCAAAAAAAATAGTTCAAAGCTTGCTTTCAACTAATATTGTCAAAGTCTATTTGAGTCCTCCTCATATTCATGAAATGAAAGCCAAACTTTCATGATCATTTTTCAAAAAATAGACAAAAAAATGTGTCACTGTCTTGTGTGCAGAATTTTGAGAAATTTTTATTCATTTATTTTTAATTGTATCTTGGAATGAGGGTGCAACCGTAAATTAAGCCTTGCAAATACTTTCCGAATGCACCGTAAAAGCAGTGACCAGTCGGCATAAATAATTAGTCCCACTGCCATGCTTGGCGGTGTTCGCGGCGAGTAAGGTTGCTGTCGCTAACATGACATCCATCTGTCACTGCAGAGGTAACCGCCCCCACGCTGTGGATCAAGCAGTTGGTTTACAAGGAGAACAAGCAGAACAGCTCCACATCCAGGAAGCAAGGTGAGATTGAGAAAGGCCAAAAATTTCAAGCCCAAGCGCTACTTCGCGTTTTAGCGTATACCCATCTTGATGTTTGACAGATGTCAACGCTCCACAATGTTACGTGCTTCCATGTTTAGATTCCGGTTGACTCTGAGATGTGGATGCCCCACAAAGTTGCATGTGGACATGTTTTTTTTTTTTTTTTTTTAAAGAGTGACATGTGAACGCTCCACAACGTAGCGCATAGCCACGTTGATATTCCGGTAGCCTCCGACTTGGTCCTTTTCCAACATTGTGGGAGTCGATTCTGACATGTGGCCGCTCTGCAATGTCATCTGCATCCATGTTTGTTTATTCCAGTAACACTCTGGCATGTGTTTGTTCCACAATGTTGTCAACGAGTTGCCTCCCCAAAAAAAAAAAAAAAAAAAAAAAACACAACTTGGTTTCGTTTTACGAGCAAACCATTTTGTCTGGCGAAACGCGATGCGCATCTTGACCAACATGCAACATTTCCTCTCATTTTAACTGCTCGCTTTGAGAGAATTTTGCAGTGATTATGGAACAGCTGAAAGCCATTGGGGAGGCGGACGGACAGGAGAGGACCGGGTGGGGGTTAACTCCGGCGAGGAGGCTTTGAGGATGAAGGGAATCAGACGACAGAGGAGGAGGAGGAAAGATTCGGACTGAATGAGTGTACGGACCGGCGCTTAAAAATTCACTTGGCGCGGCGCCTGGAGGAGTGGAATGCGTAAAATAGAGCCGGTCTGTTCTCAGCACGTCATCTTTTTGTCTGCTATATAAAGAAGCAGCAAAATTGTTCCGTGCTTAAAATGATTTTGTAGGTTTCAGGCGTCGGGCTGTGCTATTCCTGTCAAGGGAAGAGAAGTAACACCGGTAATACAATAAAACAATAAGACAAAAGAAATCAGTACAACGCTAGATTGAATTACACGCCATCTTCTTCCATTTACATGCCTGAAAATAATTTTCTTCAGGGAGTGCAGTGTAATGTCGCTATATTAAACCCCAGACATTTCGCCAGGACCGGGGCAGCACACAGACACGTTGCAGACATCTCCGCCTACGTTATGAGGTGGAAATACCGGACTCTCCGTCGTAACAGGAAGCCCAAGGTCATCCTTTGAGCACTTGGCGCAGATCCACTGCAGACGCACGACCGGACCACTCGCACTACCTTTCAGGCTCTCGGTAACTTGGCCACTATCAAACTTGCTGAGGCTCGACCTGTTGACTTGACAAGTGACGTCAAGAGCGTGACGTGACGAGTCGCTGATTATTTGCTTTTGTGGTGCACCGCTATTGTGTGCTTTTCTTCCGAAGGCCTGACTTTAACGGCTTTCAGAATGGTGATGCCACTGAGCTGACCCGGAACAGTTGTCGTTGTCTGCCGTTGTGAATAAAAGCTTGCGTTGCGGAATACACCTTGCTGGATGTTTAAACCCCTTTCCTGGTGGGAAACCGGGGAAGTACTAATTATCATGAATAAAAATATCCCGGTCTTCTGACGCTGTACAAATATGGGCTGTTTATTTGCCATTGCAGCTCATCATTGAACCGTCTCAGTTTCGCTGGCACGAGACACATTTTTGACGCCGCTTTTATTTTTCGACTTTTGGCCAAAACACGTTTTTTGTTCGTTTCAACTTTTGGACGTGACAGGAAAAACATTTCTGATGAAAAACATAAGGTGTCATCTGAAAGCCAAAGTCATGAAGCTTTGAAGGTACGACGTGTGACTCAATGGAAAACAAAAACAAGTGGAGAAAACATGAAGTTGCCTCGACATCTTATTCTCCTCATGCCGAGACCACCGGCGCTGCAGTGGGACTAATCAGCTCCATACTTTTGTTACGCACGCCATATTGCCACCATCTTGAAATGCAAAGGTACTAAACAGTTGCAGCTTAAGGCCTCACATCTCTCGATTGTGAGGCCTAAAACGGACCGGGAGCCGCGGCACGCTGTCGCGCTCGTCTTCAGAATGAGAAATGGCCCCAAATGGACGCGAGTGTAAATACGGCCCGACGGGGACGAGATGGCGCAGAAGCATCTTACGAGCACGGCTCGCAAATATGATCGTATTTTATCGCGGTGTTTGGCAAAGTGTCATTCACGATGACGAAGTTGTGTCTCGGGGGAAAAAAAAAACCACCGTAACCACTGCGTAAACAGCAGAGGATTACAGGATACACAGGATTCCTCCCTTCAAAACACGCATTTTAGGTTCCTTGAAGACTCTCTCCATTTTTTGGAATATGAGTGTAAATGTTTCGTCGATATGTGCCCCGCGCTTGGCCGGCAACCATTCTAGGGTGTCCTCGTTCTCTCGCGCCGAGTAAACTGTGACAAGCTTCAGCTCCTCTGGTCCATGTTTGGTGTGGTACACACCATGTCAGCACAGTGACCCTGTTGAGTCGGCAAGTGACTGATGACGAGTTCGACAACACCTCCGATGCTAATTAGAGGATGGTTGAACATGTCCTTATGGTCGAGGCCTTTTTCACAATTTTTTGGGGGGGACAATTCAAAAGCAGGGTGTCATTTTTCATTGGTTAATATTCATGAGATTTGTATTAATTCTTACTTTTGTCAGATTCCAGTTAGTTCTGTCACCACTGTGGGTTTTTCTTTCATGAGGAGAGCGAGCCCAACAATTTTGTCCAGAGTGGATGGATGAATTTTCCTCTTTGTTCTCTGTTGGGAGGTTGAAGGGGTCGTGTGCCTTTACAACTTGGGGAAAGGTTGTGCGGCAGAAATCAACCAAACGATCTACGTGGGCATATACCGTACATCATTTTCCAATAATTTTTGTCATGTTTGCGTGGTTGAACGCAACGTCTTTCATAGGCTTTTTGAGAATATACTTGCCTTGCTGTTTGGCAACGGTGAGGGACATCAATCAACTAAAAAGCTCTGTTTGCGTGTTTAAAAGTAATGTCTTAACCAGCTTTGTTTTGCTATCTTACCAGGAGAATGGAGGTTTTTAAAGGGGATGTGTTGTTGAAAAATGTCGGGAAGAGCAGAACTCATGATATAGCTAAAAAAAAAATTATGCCATACGATTGGCCTTTTTTTTTTTTTTTTAATATATATTTGTTCTTCCAGGGAGAATGGTTGCACCACCTCTGTCAGTTACAAGGTTTGATAAATTGTGTTCTATGGTGTAAAAAAATATGGCTTTGTTGGTGCAAATTTTTGAAGGGTTCACTCACGTTTGCATGACACTGACACTGTACTCTGTGCCGATTTTGGAGGTGTTTTATGGTGTGGTTTTTTTGTTTTGTTTTTGTCTGTCGGGGTGTTGAAGGGTTTTTTTGCATGTTTTTGACATGCTCAGGGGAGTAAGTTCATCACATGACCCATCTGCTGTTTCCAGACTACATTGTGAACGTGCATTGAGTTTGTTCGTCATGCTTCTAGAGAAAGTTCCTTCTTGCGACCAGGAGCGACAGAGCGCCCTTGACGAGGCCCGGCAGAACCCCCGTGAGGCCGTCTTCATCCCCGACTGCGGGTCCGGCGGCCTGTACAAGGCCGTCCAGTGCCACCAGTCCACCGGCTACTGCTGGTGCGTGCTGGTTGACACCGGACGACCCATTCCGGGGACCTCCACCAGGTAATGAACGCGTGTTATTTCACGCCGCCTTTGTCGGCTGTTTCCTTGTTAGCAGTACGGCTTAGGACAGTTGACAGAACAAATTGTTGCTTTCCATTTCATTGAAGCAAAAAAAAAAAAAAAACATGAGTCATGCCATGTAAATAGGGTGAAGGAAAAAAATATTCTCACTCTGTATTTAGGTCAGTGCGGGTACAGTACTTGGGTAAAAAAAACAATTCTGTTAAAAGTAGAAGTACTGAATCAACTAATGTGCTTAAGTAAAGGTACGATGGACTCAACAAACACATTGTTTCATGGTCCAAGTTGCCACGAGATGGCGGTAAAATACTACTTTTGTCAAAATGAAGGTCCTCAACTCACTTCAAAATAGTTCCTTGGGCCCAAGGTGCCACAAAATGGTGTCAAAGTAACACTAAAAATTTGTTTTCCGGCCAGTAATGGAAGATAGGTTCCTTAAAAACTTGCTGAAGTATCACGGCCCGACATTAATGGTGGCCCGATGGCCGTGATTTCAGGCCAACATGCTTCTTGCAAATGCTGGCCTGACTGACCAGTAGTGATTCAGCCATACGTTCAAACGGGCTTTTGCCAGTGCTGTCCTTGCTACTTAATTTTTTGTAGAGGCTATAAAATGTTGGGAGCCCAGCTCACTCTGGGATCTGAAGCCAGGTTACTGATTTAAGCACAGTAGGTCTTTCACTCTCCCAACGTCTTCCTTTTTCATCCGACTCCCACTCCGTTCCTGTCTTGTGATTCTCGTCCCAACAGGTACCAGACGCCAGAATGTGACGGCGCCGCACGTTCTCGCAGCTCCGACACCGAAGATCTGTTCCAGGGCCGAGACCTGACAGGTTTTTTTCTTCACTTTTTTTTTTCCTGCCGCAGTCAAAGTTAACCTTTGGATGGGGTTCCAATGAGCCACGTTCACAGCGAGAATGTCATTGTATCAACGGCACGTTGCGCTCATATCCAGATTTTTTTTTTCGCGTAAAACCACATTTTGTTAGTAACATCGGAACATATGACTAAATTTTTGACACTGTGCAATGGGCAATGATCCAATTTCACTTCATTCGGCTTAAAATAGGGCGAGGCAATGTTGTTGAAAAATGTATCCACTGTACAAAGTATTTCGTCGCAGTCGATATTGATATGTATTGAATTTTTTAACTCTTAAAAATAAGGACCCAAAGGAAATAGGCTAAAGTTGAGTAAATTTATTTTAAAATCTAATATTTAACGAGGCTAATATTGCTGTTTATTTTTTTTACAGGTTGCCCCGAGGGGAAAAAAGTTGAATTCATTACGAGCCTGTTAGACGCCCTGACCACAGACATGGTTCAAGCCATAAACTCACCGGCGCCCTCTGATGGCGGGAGGTAGGTAACAACAATCTAAACTGCTGAATCCATCAGATTGTCTATTGGGAAATATTGTCAGTCATGTTATTTCCAGTATATAGCGCTTTTCACAGAGAGCGCTCACAAAGTGCTTCACAGGAGTTATAGTATAGTCACAGGTACAGTATATAACATTTCGAAATACGTTTTACATTGTGTCTGGTTTTATTGGATTTAACTGCAGCATTTGATACAGTGGCTCACAGTATTCCGTTGACTCGTTTGCAGCACTTCGTGGGCATTGGCGGTAGCGCTCTTGGGTGGTTTAGGTCCTATTTAGCTGACAGAACCTTTTGTGTTAGCCTTGGCTGGTCTGAGACACGTACTGCCCCACTGTCATGTGGTGTTCCACAGGGCTCAATTTTGGGGCCTCTGCTGTTCTCACTGTGTGGATGTGAATGATTGTCAGATCTATGTCCCACTGAGCAAAAAAGATGCTTTCTCATAAAGGCCACTTTGATCCCGGATGGCATAAAATTTCTTGAATTTGAATGAAAAGAAGACAGAAGTGATAGTGTTTGGTCCCAGTGGCCCTTGTACATCCCATCCTGTAGACTTGGGCCCCCTGAGTTGAGATTTTACACCCATAGTTGTATTTATTGAAAACAAATAGGGTACATTAGATAGCGTCATTGGATAACGTCATTGTTTTTAGCAAATAGTCATGATGGTGCAGGGCGGTGTATCGAGACAAAATATGGCACATTTAAAGGGACAAAGACCATGCATATTTCACGGGTGATGTCCCCTTTGTTCATAATCCCTTGTTTTAGAACGCAGTCTCCTTCTTCCGATCTGTCTGATTGCTTTTTCCTTGAAACGCAAGAGTTTGGAGGAAGCGCTCATGGTTTTCATTTCACACTCCCACACATACTAGCAGAACCGATTAGAATCAGATGGCTATCGAAATTGTCAAGTCTTTTATTGCAGATGACAAAAAAAACAAATCAACATCATTTTGCCGATTCATTTCACAATGACCCCCCCACAGCAGGTTCGTGGAGCCGGACCCCAGCCACACACTGGAGGAGCGGGTGGTGCACTGGTATTTCGCCCAGCTGGACGCCAACGGCAGCCAGGACGTCGGCAAGAAGGAACTGAAGCCTTTCAAAAGGTACCTGAAGAAGAAGGCCAAGCCCAAGAAGTGCGCCCGCAAGTTCATCGACTACTGCGACCTGAACAAGGACAAGGCCATCTCGCTGCACGAGCTCAAGGGCTGCCTAGGAGTCGGCAAGGACGGTAAGAGAAGAGACACATGAGATGATGTCACATAAAAAAAAAAAAAAAAAAAATTCATGTGTGATTCATCCACAAGGGAGGGCTTCATTTGGTGGCAATGTACTCACAAAAAAAAAACGTCCTTCAAAAGTAGAAGTACTGATTCAAGTACCTGGTTTGACTCAACATGTAGAGGTGGTATAAATACACCATACTTGAGTAGAGGTAAAGTTACTTATGTGTAATTTAAGAAAAAAAGAAAAAAAAAAGGTAAATGTACTGATTGAACTCCTGTACTTAAGTAAAAAAAAGTAGACTTTGATCAATAACTGTACTCTTCTTTTTAGGAAATGAACAAACTGCAACAACATTAATAGTAATACAAAACAGTAGATTGATTCTTTTTTTGAACAAAAGACCTGAATAATAAAGACCTGATAGTTTTTCCTCTGTTATAAGTGGCAGCAATAATAATGTATTATTTTTAAAAAAGAGAGAGAGAGAGAGAGACAGACAGAGAGAGAGAGAGAGAGAGAGAGAGAGAGAGAGAGAGAGAGAGAAGGTGGCTTGCTTGTTACCAGAATACATCCGCTAGTCATCAAGAGTACACACTGAAAAGTACATTCCATTTCATATTGTAAAGGTTCAAAGGATTGGTTCGTTTAATCTAAAACCATCATTTTAATTTTTTTTTAATTTATTATTTTTGCAGGTGGTTCAACAGCCGGCAGCAACTACGGGGCAAG